TCTCCTCCGTAGCTAATAGCAATTCCCACCTTAGAGTTTACAAAGACTTATGGGTAGAAAAGCCACACTAAGTAATTTACTACACCGCACCAGGCTGCAGGTCAACTGTCATCTTACAGCTGTACTCTAGTGGGAGTCAGGAATTCAACAAGCAGTCTTGGTTCTCAAATACCAATTCCCCTGTGCACTGCATATTGGGTTCTGAGAAGCCATCTGCATGAGAATGGACTTCTAGACACTGGAGAGACTGGACTATGTCAGTATGGTCAGTCCACGGCACTGAATTAAAACAGTTAACATGCTGTCTTCATAGCATGTCATTCATACAGTGCTTTTCTAGTCTTGAAACAAGATTTATCTTCATTTAGGGCCCTAATAACTATAATCAAGGTAAAGTCATGCAAAAGTACACCAAAATCTAAACTACTTTCTAATTGCCAAGGGGTTTCAAACCAGGATATTCTGTGACATTTTTATTCTTTATTTCCATACATACACACTGTGCTATATATATGGTTTATCTCAGTTTTTACGCCAATCTTATGGTTATCCTCACAGTTTTTAACCTGGTGTCCATAAACTGGAATAGGAAAAATATTACATTTCTATTTTCACTATTCTCTCAGCTATTAACTTAGAATTTCCTTCAATTATGGATATAGGCAACAAACTTAACTTTGTTAGCATCAGTAGAAGTTATAAATGTTTTCATATCAAATTATAGTTGCAGAGAGCACAGATATTTATACTCCACTTAAAAATCATAGTTATTAAATCTAGCTCTAGATCACATGTCACTGCAAACTTATTGCAATGTGGCAGCCAAACTAGACCTAGAAGCCGACATTAAAACATGCAGTTGTGTGTTCTCATGTTGCTCACAGATACTTGCATTACTTTTCAGCATTCCCTATATATGATTGATCACCATACGAAAGTGAGTCAAAGGAAAAGACTACCCCACTGTTTATTTATTTTTTTAAATTAGGATTTGGGTGAAGATTTACAGAGTAAATTCACTTTTCATATAGCAGTTCACATATACTTTGTCTCATGTCATTGACCAAAA